TGACTGAGGTGGGCTTTAGTCCTCCCTCGCCATGAACCACCCCGCCCCAGCCCCAGCCAGGCAGTAGTAAGAGCTACTCAGGGAGCCCAGGCTGCTGTGGGAAGCTCCTGACCCTCCACCTGTTCAGGGCGGGGTGCCTGAGACCACGACAGATGGGGCTCCCTGAGTGGCTCTTACTACCGCCTGACTCTGGCTTGGCCTGGGCCATGGAGGCAGACAGAGCTCCTGCATGTGTCCCAATTTTGCCTTTTGAAAAGGTGGTTACTCTTGCACACTGGTACATCACCGGTTAGGTCACTACACTGGTACAATTATTCTGGTAGTTTTGCCAGTACACTTCCCTATGTAGACAAGCCCACATTGTTTAGATGAAGAAATAAGAAGCAGTAAAGGAGTATTAGCTTAAGCACCAAATCCTAATGATGGAGGATGGGCCCAATCCAGAAGCATGTCCAGGCCAAGCCTCTCAACTGCAGCTAAAGGCTTAAACCCTATTCATAGAAATGCCCTTGCCTATTTCCCCCCCTTTAAATACAAACAAAAGTATGATCCCTAATAGAAAAAGTATCAGATTGACAAGACTGCAGGGACCACTCACTAGTACCACAGCAGATGGTCATGCTCCCAAGAGGGGTATGCCAGATGGGAGTAAGAAGGAGGGACTATTCTCAAAGACATTGGACCAAGTTTGCTCCTGGTATAAACCCATTTAATTCAGCAGGTACATGAGGGAGGAATTTGACCTATCAAGTTTTCCAGAGCTAATCTAATCATTCACACAACGACAAAGTGGATATTGCTGAAAAATTCCTTGCTGAAAATCTTTCAGAAACAAGCTTCTGCCACAAGCAAAAGATGAACTAGAAGAGGCAATGCACTGAACCACATTGCTTCCAGTAGATATTACAAGCAAGGTGCAAAACCACAGGATTTTGCAGTTAAATGATAAATAGATTGAATCAGTTTGACTGGGCTCAAGTTGAGCATACAAACCTACAGTTGTATTTGACAAAAAAGAGAAATAGGCTTTTGCTTACACAATCTTCAAGATGGAAATAGTTACTTGTTCCGTATGGTAATGAAGACACTGAACATTTACCACACACATAAATGGAGAAAGGGCTGCACTTCACAGAAGGCCTAATCCAAAGCCCATGGGTATGGGAGTCTTTCCATTGACCTTAGAGGGATTTGGATCAGGCCCAAAGTGACCCGTTACCAGTCTCCAATTTGGAGCTTCAAGAATTACATTTGAAGTCTTATTTAATGGAGACTATGAAATAAGAATTGGAAGGACAGGTATTTAGTCCATATGTGACGTTTTTAATTGCAATGGGACTCGAGAGAGGTTTTTATTAATAAATAATTTGTATATCTATTTTAGTTCTAAGGAGGAGAAGAGTAAATGCCTTTTACAGTAACATACATTTAAAAGAGTTCACTTGGATGAGGTTTGAACACAATAGATCATGAGTATCTAGAGAAAAGAATTTCTTTTTATGCCCTAAAAAAGTGTTATTGGTTAGAAAGTTAGTAAACTAAAGCAGAATCTTATTTCTCACACTGCAAGTGTTCCAACTCCTCACAAGGTTGCTTTTTGCAGTGTAATAATGTTTCAAATGCACAATTCTAGTTTCCTCTAGAGGTTTCCATAAATGCTAATTACTCTAGAGTATTTAATCTACTTAAACTCCATCTTTAATTTGCTCTCATTTTGGCAGCTCCATATAAAACATTCTCTGATGCCTGAAAAGCAAGTTGTACAGTGCTCACCATTTGTTTGTTTGGAGGTTAAAGATAAAGTAAAGCCTCCTATTTAAAGAAAGCCTTTTAAGAGGCGGATTTTTGTTAGTGTTTGCTGAAAGGGGGTGCAAGCATCCCATTCACTAGTTTACAACTTTGGTCATAGTAAGACTTTTTGGTCACTATCCATCCAGGCCCTCTTTAGAGCTCACGGATTCACTTATCTGCTCTGGACTGAGTCTACATCTCAAGAAACAATAACTGGCATCTGTGCCAATAGTCTCATAGACAATTATTTCAATAGCCATGAGGAGAGTTGCCCACAGAAGTGGTTGTGGGTCATACAAGCAAGACAACATGAGTGAGAAGCCACACACATAGCCACCACACTTCCTGTTTATTTCATTTAATCTCAGTGACAGAGAGAGAAACAAAAGGATGATCAAATATTGTTATAAAGCCTGTAGAGCTAGTCTAAATGCCCACCCGGATTAGTAAATACATGTTTTCTAACTAAACCAGGCAACTGTTCTAAACAGCTGTGTTGTGCCCACACATTAGCTTTTTTTAAACAAACACAATTATGTGTGAAGCAAGGTTGCGTACCCCTCTTACCATGCTGTTTGATCACATTTGTGTCACTTCATCTCAGAATATTAGGGTGACCAGATGTCCCGATTTTATAGGGACAGTCCCGATTTTTGGGTCTTTTATAAGCTATTACCCCCGCACCCTTTGTCCCGATTTTTCACACTTGCTGTCTGGTCACCCTACAGACTATCTGGGCAGCTATCATATAGTGCCTCAGCAACAGCTATTATACATGAAAGACATACACAGATTATAGCATTTGAAGCACGGGGGCAATAGACTGTAAGGTGCTCTACCACAGAGAGCTTGGAGGAGGGAGGACTGGCTGAACTGGTTACACGGCAGTTAGGAAATGTAAAAACGTTTCCAGATTGAAACATGTTGTGATGTAGCTGAATCAATACTACCAACAAGTTCTAATGTAGACTAAACACAGTTTATTTTTTAAAACCACTGTGTCATCTAGCCCTTCTTAAAGCTCTATCTGATTGCAAAATTACCTGTGTTCAATCAGGCAGAGCTCTGAGAAAAGCCAGACAACACCGGTAAATATAGCATAGCGCCCAATCTGCACTATAGCTTGTACTGCAGCAGCTACAGGGCTACCTACAACATTGTTGGAAAACAGGTACAGAATTTCCTTGTGTACATAAAGGTCCAATCCAAACAGCAAAACAGCATTACAAACTGGCAATAAGAACATGGGCCAGTCAAGGCCTCTAGGAATGTAAAACACTCAGCTGCCATGGTTACGGAGTATTAACTATGTTATGTGTTGACAAAAAACAAAACAAACAAAAAACGTATTTAGTGTTTGCAACATGGCCAGATCTAACTGGTTATAAGCTCACCGTGAAGTTTAGCATAAACAGGGCCTAAGCATACAGTGAACAAAAACCACCTGCACTGTTTGACTGCATCACATGCTATCTAGATTTAGGATGAAAAGGAGAGAGATTAATTTAGCCCCAAGAAAGGAAATGCTAGTAGAAGCTTCAGACATTATAGTAAATTACTGACAAACACATTTCACTTTTGTAAAGTGAAAAGTGTTATGACACTGATGCACTAGTTCAGACACTAGCAGTTTATACATACCAAATATCGGTGACTGGGCTGTGCAATATGGCATAGTTTCTTCATTAGGAGCTCGGGTGAACAAGCTGAGGTTTGTATACACATCCTGTGTTTTTGAGTAATCCAAGGGCTGAGGTGTATCTAAAAATCCTCGAAATACACTCGATGCTCCACCTCGGTACAAAATCAGGATAAATATTGCTTGAAAGACAGCTAGGAAGAGCAAAAAACAAGGATTTTCAACACGAGACAGGGACATGGTTTTAGGCCATCCACTGGAACTAGTTTTGTTGAGAGTTTAATTCTCTAGAACAACTTCACATTTTAACTTCAGGGCTACATTTGTGTAGGTAAGCATGCTTGTCCGCTTCAAAGGGCTCAGCAAAACGATTAATGTCTTTTGACTGCAGTGCATATTTCAAGCATGGTTTCGTTCAGTGCAGTCCAAAACGCTAAACTTTAGCGATCTTCTGTGCATCGCTCTTCATTCTTCCCCAACATTCATTCAATCTGCGCAGCTAATTAGAGACAAGACAGCTTGTTACAGTAATTCCACCACAGGACGCCGGCCCGTTTCCCGACTAATTATCACCACAGTCACGCTCTGGTGTACCGGGGCCAGGCTGGCTCCGGCTTCCCCTCATCAGCCCGCCCCCTGCCACTGAAGAAAACTATTTCAAACACGGCGGCAGGCGGGGTGAGATCCCCGTTGCGGGCGAGAGCTGGCTGGCGGCAGCCAGGCCGCACAGACCCGGAGCGAGCCGCCCCTTAAGGCGAGGGGAGTTCGGGCTCGTCCCCACGCCGGGTTGCTCTCTGTGTGGACGCTCGGATTCCCCCCCCATAACGCTGCCGGGTTTCACTCCGGATCCGGCTCCAGAAGAACGCGGCGCGCTGATGCCGGAATCGGAGCGTCCACACAGGCAGCAGCCGCGTGAGGAGACAGCGCCAGTCAGAGGCGAGCGGGGGGAGGAGAGTCCAGCGCGGATACGCCCCCCATGCGGAGCGGCCTGCGGGGCCTTGGGGCAGCCCCCGCGGCTGCTGTTCCAGCCCCCCCGCGCTGGGTTATGGGAGGGGCCGCAGTGACCACCCCCCTCGACAGCGGCAGAGACCGGTACGAGAAGGGCCGTCTCCTGCCTCCCCTCGCACCAGAGCGAACCCAGGAGTCCGGCGGGGGTGGGCGGCGTCACAGAAAGCCCCTCACCTACCTGCGAGCACAGCAGGCACCTCCGTTAAACCGCCAGCGCCGCCACTCGCCGCGCTGGCCACGCCCCTTCCATGGCCACGCCCACTCTGTTTAAAACCGCCCGTCTCGCTCCTGTAATTTGCATAAAATGCACCCGATCCACGCTGCCTCAAACTCGATGCGAGACCACAACGCCCAGCATGCAATGCGGCTCTTCAGGGACTACAGCTCACAGCATGCAACGTGAGCGGGGGTGGGAATTAAAATTCCCCAGTGTATGCACTGAAGACTCCCCACTCCTGTTCTACTCATATGGAGCAATGCATGCTGGGATGGGAGCTGTGGCCTTTAAGGGGTGACTCTCCAGATTGAAAGGGGAGAACCACACTTGGTTATAGATGTGGGCCCGTGGACTGATTCTGTATATCAGGCCCCATCTGCCCTGCGCTAAGATCTCCGCTGATGGGACCAGCTACTCCCACTTCTGCTCCTGGCAGTTCAGGAGGTTCCCCAGTCCTCTACAAAGTTTTCCCCTTTTGAACTGTTATATGGTCGCCGCCTGTGTGGACTGTTGGACCTAATGAGGGAGAGATGGGAGCAAGCCCCGTCACCTACCCAGGGCCTCTTAAAATACGTACTCCAGCTCCAGGAGTGCCTTACTCAGGCTGGGGCCCTGACTCAGGAGAATTCGAAGGCCGCCCAAGATGCTCAGGCCCAGACCTACAACCGGGATGCACAAACCTGCGACTTCCAACCTGGTGATTGGGTTTTACTCCTCCTCCCCTCAAGTGACTCCAGGATTCTGGCCCATTGGCAAGGGCCTTATGAGGTGGTCCAAAAGGTCAGGCCTGTCACATATGAGATCAACCAGCCCGACTGGTGCAAGAAAACTCAACGGTACCATATCAACCTCTTCAAACTCTGGCGGGAGCGAGAGGAACTCTTAATTAACCCTTACCCACCAGAACCCGAGCTGGGTCCACATGTAACATGTCCAGAGGACCCTGCAGGACCCCAGCTCAGGGAGACACTGACTGAGGAACAACTTAAGCAGACCCCATGTCTTCTACAAGCGTTCCCGTGCACTTTCACAGCCCAACCGGGATACACAACCCTTGTCCATCATACTATTCAGACAGAGCCTGGGGTGGTGATCCGGGGCGCGACCAGGCCCTTGCCATATCACGTGCAGTAGGTCGTTGAAGAAGTAGTACAGGCCATGCTGGACCTGGGAGTCATCGAACCATCGTACGTGGTGCTTGGCGGCTGCGGCTCTGGCGCCCGGGCCCGAACCCCCCAAGCCCGGGCTTGCTGCGGGGACCCAGCAGTGCGCACGCTGTGCCCAGCCCCTGGCCTGTCGCGTCTGGGCTGGCTGCCCAGCTGGTGCAATTCCGCGGGCGGCCCCAGAGCGGAGGCATCAGCAGCCCCGTTCGTTCCCCTGCAGGACCTGAGCGGGACGGGGGGGCTGGGGCCTGGTGTCCGCACTCCGGGGCTGCCCGCAGGATTGCACCAGCTGGCCAGCCAGCCCAGACACAACTGGCCAGCCAGCCCAGACACAACTGGCCAGGGGCTGGGCACGCGCAGTGTGCGCGCTGGGTCCCTGCAGCAGGCCCAGGCTCGGGGGGTTCGCGGGCGCCAGAGCCGCAGCCGCCGAGCGCCATGTGCTTGGCCAGCGGCTGCTTCCTCCCACTGCAGCAGTGGGAGCTGCAGCAGCGGCTGCTCCCGAGTCCCGCTGCCCAGGTGGGGAGAACAGCCGCCGCCTGGCCCCGCGGGCCGCCCCACTACTCTCTCTCCAGGTACCAGGCCCGAGTCCTGCCTGCTCAGGGCCATGCCGGACTCACACTCACCCCGGCCCCACGCTCCCCTGCGTCTCCCGGGCCTCCCTCCAGCGCTTGCGGAGGGAGGAGGAATGGGGGGGGTTGTTTTGGGGTTTTTTTTGCTCTGCCTCCGTTTTTTTCCCCTCTGACACCCCCCCCCCCCAATGTCCTGATATTTGACCTGGGTGATCTGGTCACCCTAGGTATACCATAGGGAACGGACAAGTGAAGCCCCTCGTGGGAAAAGTTCAGGCCATTGCAACCTTCCCACTGCCTGCCACAAAATGCCAGGTACGCCAGTTCCTGGGACTTGTTGGCTACTATCAGTGGTTTATTCCCCAATTCGCGGCGATTGCAGCCCCCTTGACTGGGCTGTTGACCAAGGACAGCCCCCGGCAAGTAGTTTGGACCCAAGAGTGCGACAAGGCCTTCCAGATGCTCAAGGCAAGTCTCTGCCGTGAACCGGTCCTATATAGCCCCGATTTTGACCAGCCGTTCATCCTCCAGACAGACGCCTTGGACATAGGACTTGGGGCTGTCCTATCCCAAGAAGTGGGCGGGGAAGAACATCCGGTCGTCTACATTAGCGGGAAGTTGTTTCCCCGGGAAAAGAACTACGCGGTGGTGGAGAAGGAGGCCCTTGCAGTAAAGTGGGCTTGTGGTGCCTTGCATTACTATGTCCTCGGAGTCCCGTTCACATTGGTCATCGATCATGCTGCACTCCAGTGGCTGGCCCGGATGAAGGATAATAATATGAGACTACAGCGTTGGTACCTGGCGCTACAGCCCTGTGCCTTTACGATTCGCCATAGGGCTGTGAAGGACCATGCAAATGCAGACTTTCTGTCCCGCTTGGGAGGCATGGAAGGGTCTGGCCCCGATGAACGGGAGCCAGCCTTGAGTGTAGTGAGGCAGCCTGGCTCCCAGCCGCCCCAGAGAGGGACGAGCCCCTCCAGATGCCAAAGTGAGTGGAGCCACTGGAGCCTGCGCCTGCCCCCCAAAGGTCAAAGCGCAGGACTGGAAGTATAAAAGCCCCACCCCAGGGCTCAGAAGCTGCCTGGCCGCCGGAGAAGCCAGACGCTGGGGGCCTGGCTCCCGCTGGGGAAACTCCTGCAGCCTGTGACCGACCCGAGGACTGGCCATACCAGTCAAGACCCTGGAGAAGCTGTTAAGCCTACCGGAGAGAAGCGACCCAGAGGAGCTGCCAAGCCTACCACTCTCTGAGTACCCTGAGGAGCCCATGGCGCTCGATTCCGTGGAGGACACCGACCAGACGCAGGTACTACTAGAGGGGGAGGTAGGAAGTAGCCCGGAGGCAGCCGACCCTAGTTTGGCTGCAGCACACCCAGAGCCGATGTCAGTGTGTTGCGGCCAGGATCCCCACTGACACAGCAGCAGGCTGTGATGGGGTATTCCTATGTGCCAAAAATGTTAACAAGGGGACTGAACCAGAAGAAACAGCCTCTTAGCTGTTTTCACAGCTGATTCTACCTTACCCTTACTCTGTGGGTCTGCTGGGGAGGTGGTATGGTGATCAAACTCCATTTGCATGCAAATTCTGGGAATTCTTCTGAGGCAAACTGGGGTCTGTTATCAGTGAATACAGTGTCTGGAATGTTGTATCTTGCAAAGTAGTCCACTGTAATCAAATACAATACTGTTGTTCTTTGAAAATAAATAAGTCTGCTCCACCTTTTCCTGTGGTCAGGTGAACAACTTAGGCCTTGGCTACACTTGCGAGTTACAGCGCTGTAAAGACTCCCCCAGCGCTGTAACTCACTCCCCGTCCACACTGGCAAGGCATTTGCAGCGCTGTATCTCCGTGGTTGCAGCGCTGCACATACTCCACCTCTCCAAGAGGAATAGCAAGTATTGCGCTGCCGCTGCAGCGCTACGGCGCCAGTGTCTGTCATTCTGGCAGGGGGTGTTGGTGGGGACATTACTTCACATCTCCAGCTCTGGTGATCAGTTTGACCCTGAGCATTTAAGCAAAACAGATCAGCAAGGCAGCTAAGAAAAAGGATTCTCTGTACCATCTCAGAGCACCAGCCCACCCCATCCAGGTGTCCTGCCACCAGCTGTGGCCAACCTCTGATGCCTCAGAGGACAGCAAAACCCCTTTCTCCCAAACCCTAGAATACTTATAGCCTGTTATGCACTGTGGGCAAAAAAATCCTTCCAAGCCCCTGAAGGTGCCCAGCTGAACCATAAGATATGATTATATCTAGAATCTTAATTCAGAGCTGCAAGTGTTATGAGCATTGTAAAGACAGTGCAGGTAGTCCCATAGATGCTGACTCCAGGGGTGCTCCAGGGCTGAAACATCCACAGGGAAAAAATAGTGGGTGCTCAGCACCCATCGGCAGCCCTGAGGATCAGCACATCTCCCTCCCGCCCAGCCCTCCTGCCTGCTGGCGACCCCACCGATCAGCTCCTCCCCATCCCTCCCTGTACCTCCCACCCACCGCGTTCAGCTGTTCAGTGGCGTTCAGGAGGCTGTGGGGGTGGGGGTGAGGATGAGAGGTGGGGGCGGAACAGGGCGGGAAGAGGCGGGGCGGCAGCAGGGCCTGGGGCAGCGGGGGGTGGAGGGGGCTAGAGCATCCCCCAAGAAAAGAGCAAGTCGGTGCCTATGGATAGTCCTGTATTCCCCAAGGCCAATGAAGAAAGAGGGTGAACAGAGGAATTCATAGTCCAAAGATTCCAAGGCCAGAAGGGACCACTACGACCATCCAGCCCAAACCCAGCACCCCAACAGGCTGCAGAATTTCTCCCAGAAGCTGGAATAAAGCCTTTTAAAAAGCGATCTAATCTTGTCTCAAAGACTCCCCAGGCAATGGTGAGTTCACCACCTCCCTTGCTAAAATGTTCCACTGTTTAGTTACCTTCACAACTAGGATATTGCATCTTATTTCAAGGTTGAATTTACCTAACTTCTACTTCCAGCCATTGGATCTTGTTATGCTTTTGTCAGAAGGGTTGAAAAGGCCACACTCTCAGATATCTTCTTCACGTGTAAGGGTCTATACGCAGTAATCAAGACACCTCCCAACCTTCTCTTTGATAAGCTAAATAAGTTGAGCACCTTAAGCCTCACTTCATAAGGCATGTTTTTCAGGCCCTGGATCATTCTTGTGTCCCTTCCTTGAATGCTCTGCAGTA